TGTGAGTGTCTGTGTGTGTGTGTGTGTTTGTAAAATGCCAATAAAGACATACATACCATACTGTACATCCACATAGGACACGCACTGTCTGACCTCCAAAAGACATTTCCATGGACCAGAGGAGGGGGCTCAGCACACAGCCCTGTGGGGTGCCAGCGTACAGCATCAGAGAAGAGGAGGTCGTCACTGACTGCAGTCTGCTGATCAGAAAGTCCAAGTGCGCAGGCTGGTGTTAAATCCTTGAGCTGCACTGACAACTTGGATGGCGTGATGTGTTGAAGGCGGAGCTTTTATCAACAAAAGGCATCCAGATCAACATGTCCACCATGAACTGAGTGGAACATAGTGAAGCATTTAACAGCTGAAGAGCCTTGTAACTTTTTTGTTAGTCTTGGTGCTCTTTGCATCTGCAAACCTTCGAGTGCGTTTGTTTTGCTATTGTGTCACGCACAGTCAATGAACTCCCTTTGAAATAGTGACAGCTGTGTTATTTGTGTTTAATTCAGAGCTCTTTATTTGTATGTCGGCTCTTTGGAGAACTGGAGTCCGTCCTGAGACTCCACTCAGACTCAACCTTGATGACTCAGACTCAGGTAATGGGGACTCCACTCAGACTCAACCTTGATGACTCAGACTCAACTGTCCACTAACAGGTTTTCCCATATCAACTGAAAAAGGTGATGATATGTTGTGTTCACACTGGCCGAAAAAATCAGCGCAGTTTTAACCATCAAATTCCAAATTACTTACTTATTTATTATGTACTTATTAGACAATACTGTATTTTCTTATACCCTCAGATTATTGCATTCGTCATGTCCAGAAGCTCAACACAACTCCAAAGATTATCTCCTGCTGTGGCTGCCTCTCGTTCAGTACAACTTTATTAGCATCTGACAACACTTACAGGAGCGCTTACTGGGCAGGGCTCAGTCTAAGGCCTTACCTTGGTCGGGGTAAAAAAAAAAAAAACAGGCAAATACTGCTTTTGTTTAAGGCTTGGACACAGATCTGAGCTGCTGCTAGAGAGATCATACTGTTGTAATTCTTGCTAATTAATGTTACAGTTAAATGAGCTCTGATGTTTGGCAGGATCAGTTTCTATAACACTGTTTAACAAGAGTATGCAAGAGCGCACGCACACACACACACACACACACACACACCTTTTCACCAAGCATGCTGACACCATCTGCTCATTGCTGCCTGATAGCAGTGGTGGGTTTATGTGGAGTTTTATGGAGAGAACAGCGACTGTGTGTTCAAGTCCTCTAGATGGCAATGCCGCCCTCTCAGTCCGCTTCACTAACCAGTGAAATGGGAGCAGCCCTGATCACTACAAGCCACTTTAACAGCTTACCAGCCCCACAGCAGCTAACAGTAACACTCACCTGAGTTATTACTCCTGGAGGTCTGTGTGGTGTGTGAGGAGGGATAATTGTCATAAAGGCAGCTCAAAATATGAAGTCATGTGTCAGGTGTTGTTGAGTGTCCCGGCATCTGTCTCATAGTACCAGATCCTAACCAGGACAGGCTGAGCCGTTCAATGTAAATGTACTGATCACTAGTCTGGGAAAACCAGTTACATAACGTCCTCTGTGGCTCTAGATGAGCATTTTAAAGTTTGAGAATATATCCCTGACGATGACGTCAGAGGAATCTCAGTTTGAGCTCAGAAATTTCCAACAGGAAGCTACGAACGGCTGGAGTCATGGCTTACTGGTCCTTGAATATTCATATTGTGGATTTTGTTAAGACTCCTCAGGGAAAGTCTAACAAAAGATTTCAGTAATGGGACTGTAGGATCTAATGCTTCTGGAGCTTGACCTATACTAGGAACTAAAAGTATCGCAGTAGTATCCGATACAAAATCACTGGACTGAAACTGTCAAACGTTTGTTCCTTCCTAAATTGTTACACTCTCTATTTCCAATAGGCTGAAGAATAAAGCTGGTCTCAAACATGAATCGAGACGAAGTGAAAAATTATTACAGTTTTCAGTCGTAAAAATGACAAAATGTTTAAAAACTCTGGAGGATCACTTGTCTAGTTACTGGATCAGCTCAGTTCACATTAAAGCTTTTTCTAATCTGACGCCTACATCACCGGGACGACATCGTTTCATCGGTTGGGCCTTCCAAAGCCGTGTTTTCATCTTACACCAACATGTTTACTGTGTGGTGAGACTTAGGTTTGGTGCATAATTTCAAAGAATGTGCATACAATAAAATACTTAAGAAATGTTTATGAGTCAGTTGGGTTTGTTCTTGCTCTGCAGCACTACACTATCGGAGCATATTTAACGACAACATTCACATTATACGGAGGTTTGTGGTGGTCGGGATGGATGTAGTCACATTGTGGTTTAGAGATCAGCGATGCCGCCCTGCGTCCACAACTGATCGCAAAACAGTCGGATTTGAAGTAAGACTCACCTCCCGCTGTGGTTTCCTCCCCTGCAGTAAAACTTTATTAACATCTGACAGCACTTGTCTTAATGATTCACTCAAACAATGATCTAACACATATACATGTGGTTATTTCACCTTATGGAAAACAGGCTTTTAGCATGGAAGCATCTTCTAGCTGCGTTTCAGGCGGCCTGTCTGAGCAGCGGTAGGAACTCGTATCTCACCTTCTACTTGGATAATCTTATACTTTATTTGGGAATAAGAACCATGCGAGCACAGTAAAGTAAAATAACAGTAATGAAGATACTAATAAAGATAAGACCCTGTTGGTAATCTTGCCTCAGCCTCCAGTCTGGAGAGCATGCTAATGTTTTGGCACATTGATAGTTACAGTGGTAACCAATCAGGACTGTCTGCTGTCACCAGTCTACAGCTTCATTCATTCAACCACAAAAAGAAAATGACCCTTATTAGATATGGACCTTCTGAAGAATATGCATATGCATACATGGGTATCCTGTCATTTCACAGTAGCTCAACCGATTTGATTAAACACATATATCCACATATTTAGACTGAACACTACACATCATGACTGAGAGTGCATGAAAACTAGTTTAGTACTCGAGCTAAAAGTAAAGTAGAGAAAAGCTTCATGTAATGGATAGGTTGAAATTCCTATAAGGCATGGAAACATTTGAAATAGAATAGACATCTAAAAGTACTGCATTAACAGCTGATATAGTGTAAACGGGTTAGGTAAATGGTGGAAAGATAAAAGTAGCAGATCAACAGCTGCAACTTCCAGCTTCTGCCACTCACACATGCCCAAATGTTGTTAACAATATCCACTTTCACCTAATTAAGTGTGTTAAATTAAATCCTGGCATTTGGACATATTTCGGTGAGGGGTTACTAGAGTTCACCTGGCCGGTTTGTGAGGCCACGAGACAAATAGGTTGGTAGCATAAATGATAACTCAGTCGACTGAGACCGATTTCAGGCATCCTAGTTACAATACGGAGTTGCATCAGGATTATAATGTTCAGCAATAATTAAGAATAATAAAACATTAGCTCAGACTCTCAAGGACTGAACAAAAAGAAAAAAAACACTGACTTTCTTCCTTGGCGTTCATGCGCTGGCAGCAGTGAGGGGAACTGAAACAAGAAAAGCCGAGGGGAGTAATTGAGATTTACAATCATTTAATTAATGTCAAATGTAGTTTACAAACGGGAAAGACATGTACCATTTCCAAGAATATACAAGACACAAATTAGTTCTGACACAATCCTCTTGTGCAATTTGTCATCTTTGGGGCAGGTTCGAATCAAAGGAAGATCAGAGGAATCACAGCGTGAACGCGACAGCGCAGCATCACATCCCTTTTTTTTCTTTTTTTTTTCCTATTCAGCGTTTACCTACCAGGATGTGTTGACTACATGATGAGCTAAACCCAAAGGGAACAGAGCAGAACTCGGCTATCAACTCATGCTTTTCTCACCCCACAATTATTCGTCTCGCTGTAAAGAAGGATCCCAGACCCCATTTATTTCTTTCTGAAAACAAACCTTTAAACAGTGGGGCTTTTACATTATTTCACAGTGGATGGAGATGATCAACTTCAGATGCAAACAAGTCCAATGAGAGCGGCGTGAACACTGACACTTGAGATGACGCACAGTCTATTAAAAATGCACATGAACAGAACAAGTGTGTCTTTTGCAGTTAAGGCCATCTTCCTCACCTGTTTTCAGTGAACACAGCACTTATGTCTTATTTTACCACCCGCAGGGGTGGGGGGATGGGGGTGGGTGGGTTGTGTCAACGGGACCACTCGAGATATTTGAGAAGTTTTATTTTTTTTTTTTTCAGCATTTCTTACAACAATACAGACGTCACAGAATACATAGTTTTACAAACACAAAGCACACCACCACCTTGGCTGCTGCTGCCGTGGAGAGGGGAGGGGAGGGGAGGGGAGGGGAGGGGGGGGAGAGAGAAATGATGTTGTTGAGGTTGCCAGTTTAGCCTTGACCATCCTTCTTTCCCCCCTCATCTGTTATAACTTAGAAAGAACCTGCCCTTAAGGGTTGCCATTTTGGGACCTTTGTTGTTGTTGCAGCGCAGCAGTATGAGAACGATGGAAAAAGCTTTCTCTTGAGACGTGAACGGGTAAAACTGAACGTGTCTAGACTATGATCTGAGCATGTTGTTACTCCAACTGAGAGGAAGCAGAAATGGAGGTTTAAAGAAAAAAAAAAAAAGAAAAAGAAAAGAGGCTCAGCTGGACATTGTTGCAACTAAGGAGCAGTTCCATCATTCTGCTTGTTTGCAGAAAAACCTTGGGCAACAGGAATCTCTCCGGTGCTCTGCAGAACAATTACACCACCTACATCCTGACCATCTAATCTCGAGTAGTTTATTATTACTTAAATTTTTTATTCCTGTACAGTGAAATAAAACTTTAACGGCTCTTCAAATTATCTTTTTTTTTTCTTAAAAATACAGAAGGCTTTTTTTTTTCTTTTTTTTCTTTTTGTTTTTTTTAAATTTCAGCCATTTTTTTTTTAACCCCCCCCCCAAACATCATTCCCAAACCCTTCCAACTAAAAACAGGACTTTGATATTATATATTCTGTGTGTGTCTGATGGTAACATGTGCCTGTGTTTGCATCTGTTTGTGTGTGTGTGTGTGTGTGTGTGTGCATGTGTGTGTATGTGAGTGAACTCTATGTCATTTACATCCAACATTGTAAACATACATAGAACTATTTTACATGTGCTTGCACTGCATCTTGGAGGGGGGGAGAAATTTTGGTTTACTTCACTAGAACACCACAAAAGAGGGAAGAGGGGAGGGAAGGGCCCGCTTGGAGAAGAAGAAGAAGTAGAGGGAGAAGAGGTGGAAGAGGAGAGAGTGTCTAACTCCTTTTCAAGGTTGTGAGGTTATTCTCAGTTTGGTTGAAAGCTCAGTTTTTAGTGGCCCTTTTTTAATTCTCTTAAGCAACAGTGGCGTGAAGGTAAGAGTTTCTCTCTGGAATTAGAGAAGAGGAAACAAAAAGAAGCTTTCTGTCAAGTCTTCAGGGTAGAGTCCATTGTCCAGCACCGCTGAGATGTCGAAGAAGAGCGAGAGGGAAAAAAAAAAAGAAGAAGTCTTTATATTCTGTATTAAGTTCCTTTCAGGTCCAGCTGCAGCGGCGTGAAGCCACCATGTCTCAGTAGGGCCGAGCTGGGCGCCTCCACTGACTTAAAAGTCCGTCAGTGGGCGATACCCGGCGTCATGTCGGTGAGGCAGAGGAAACGAGCCCGTTGGCCGCTGAGATTGCAGGTCTCTGTATTTTCATTTTTTTTCATGGGTGGCCAGGCAGCCAGAGAGTCAGTGAGCGCTGCTCAGTCGTTCAGTCAAATCAGTTTCCTCAAAGTTTCAGCGGAGTCCCAGAGACGGCCGCCTCGTCTCTGGACGCTCCCGGAGGCTTTCTGAGCTCTGATCCAGGCCACGAGAGAGAGAGAGGGAGAGAGAGAGAGGAAACGAACGGTGATCGACGGGGAGGGTCGATGAAATCCAAGATGGAGGGAGGAATGGATTGGAAGGACGAAGAGGCGGTTGGGGTGTGTGTGTGTGTGTGTGCTCTTTACAAGTAGACACGCCTCAGGTCTCCGGGTGAGGTGATGGTGTTGCACTGTGGACACAGCTTCTTGTTCCCCTGTGACGGACAGAGAAACAACAGTCAGCTTGGATGTTTAGAGAATGAGTTCAGGTCATCATATGGTGATATCTACACCACACACAAGAGGGTTCATTCATTCACTCAGGGTTACACTGCTGAAATAATGAGAAAATGCATCAACAACATATTTGTGTAAATTTAAGGATTTGCTGCTTTTTCTCTCCGAGTTGTGGAGAAGAGTTTGGTGACATCACGACACTGTGAGGTATTTTCTTGCAATAACTTTTTTTTTTAATGATGATGTATTATCAGTCTACAGTTACATTATTCCAATATAATTGCACAGAGGAGCTGTGGCTCTGCGCTCTACTTCACAATAACACTGACCAGACTCACTGATGCAAACAGACCTGCTGTACTGAACTCAGCTGGATCCAGCTCTTCAATATCAAACTCCAAACCAGCTTCAACTCAGACCACATTTAGTAAAATACGTCCAGCTGGTGGTGAACAAACAAACTTGTGCTTGTGTGGTAACACATCTCCACATTGTGAACGACCGAGACATTTGTCTCTATTTTTCCCAACTGGCGAAACTTGAGAAAGTTTTATTTTATTTTTTTTTTCTTCTCTGATTTATCACCAAACCAAACGAAACGTACAATATAACTAATAAATCGCAACACATCTTGCAGGCAGTGTACTGTGCGGTCCAGAGGTCGGAGACCACTTTCTGGTGGTAAAAGACTTTTGGGCGCCACTCGTTCTGCATTGGACCGAGTGTGTGTCCTTTGTTGTGTGATGTTATTGCGTCTGATAAAAAACAAGAAAATGTTGTTAAACCAAGTCGAAAAACTCTCCAAGTTGTTGCTTTTTGGAACCAACTCCTCCGCAGTGAAGCGGAAAGCAACACCACCTGTCCCTTTAAAGCCGTCCATGGTGCTGTACTGATATCATGACAGTAAGACTTATTATTATTATTATTATGATGATGAACAATATTATCTGAACAAAACAAGCGATTTGAAGATGTTATCGTCAGAGTTCTTCAAACTTGTGATGGATGTTTTTTAATAAACAACACACTTAACTAGAAAAATAGATTAACGGAAAAAATGAAAGTCATAGTTAGTGGTCGAGCTACAGGTTCGGTCTGTGTTGGTGATGTAGAAGACACAAGTCATTCCCGCTCCTCTGCAATAAAAAGGCTGCACGTTAACAATACGATGCGTCTTCAGCGCCTGACGGTGAGCGACACTACGACAACCTCCTCCTTGGATGCGAGTCTAAACCTGCCTGTTCGCAGCACAGTACCACCTTCTCAGTCTCCCCCTCTCTGCCCTCACCCTCTCCCCCTCTGCGCCGCTTTGAGTGTGTGCCATCTGCAGTAAAGCAGCAGGTGATAATATGCAACACAGGGCTGACGGTGTAACAACACTCTGACTGGGTGGTCTCCGCCGCTGTCCTCCACCTCTCCCGACTCTTTTCCCACTGCCTCGCTCTACCAGTCGGCTCTTGCGCTGGCTGCAGGCGCATTCCTGCCGACAGCTTTCATTGTTCTGGTTCTCCATTGGTTGCAGATGTATGAATACATATAAATGTCAAATCAGATTATGTAAATGACTCGAGTATAGTGGCACATCTGGAGCTAACTAGCAGAGGAAGCAGCAACTGGATCTTTTAAGTCATGGAAGAATCGGTGCTAATCGCTACGACTCTTTGCTTCCCACACTCATAATTTCACATTGTTCTATATTATACCCTCCCGAAAAGTGGCATGCGCTATATATTTAGCCCACAAATATTACCACCAGACGACCATCTGTGTGGTATGTGAGGCCTTTGCTCAGTCAACTGGTATCTGTGTAGAAGGTGTGCAAAATGTCAAGGCTGCGAGTTGAGTAATGGAGTCTTTAGGGAAGGACATGCTGTATGTGTGATATCTAACACAGGTACAACAGAACGCAGAGGTCGCATAACTGGAGCGCCGGCACCTTCCCAACCCTCTGTGGTCACTACGAACGTTCAGGCTCCTCTGACCCCAAAGATTTATAGGCTGCTTCTTCCTGCAAGCCACTGAATAAACTCTTTGGAGTTGGGTGCACGGGCGAAGGTGGTCTGAAGGGTGAACACACACACACAGACACACACAGACACACACAGACAGACAGACACACACACACGGGATGAGATTGAGGTGGTGCAAGAGTCTGGCAGATCTCACATGCTCCTGCTAAGAGGATTTGTGGCTCCAGAGTACTCAAAACAGTCTCTTATTGTCTACAAGAGAGAATGAAGGAGGAGGAAGAGAGTGGAGGAGAAGAAAGGGAAGGGAGGAGAGAGGAGGAAGGGTGGAGGTTGTTAAGTCTGGGATCCTACACATGGTTTAAAATGGACGCATACAGGTTCCTGGTTGAGATTCTTGTCATACTAGCGTCTATATCTTCATCACAGGTGTTGCTATGGTGATGCTATGCACACATGGCACCAGAAAGGATGAGGATCAATACCCAGCCTTATAGTACAGTATGTTAAAAAATCTTTCTTGTTTTCTGTTAGTGTGTATATTTTTTTCCCTGTGGCCTGGAAGTTGGCATGACGTGTGAATGAGTGCGTGTTTGCAAACAGGTGCGTGGCAGGACGAGGAGGTGATTGGTGGACAACCCTGAATCTGGCAGCTGATTGGCTCCTGTCGGATGGCGATGGCGAGCTGCAAGGGGAGAAACTCATCTACCTCGTGTCCCGAACCGGCAACACCATGTTCTGCATTAACTTTTGTCAAATCAAATAATTATTTTAATTGTTTTTTAAAAAACAAAACAAAAAAATTCCTGGTTCATCTTTTACAGACAAAATAAATTATTGATCGATCAAGAAAATAACCAGTCACAGCCCTGCACTTGTGAATGAACTGTATCAGTGCTCTTATTAAATTATAAAGTCGTTTCAGGCTGATGTTTTGTGTCAGGGTTTCCTCATGTAAATATCGTTTTCTACAGTCGAGCCACTTAATGTTTCCTGGTGTCTTATAATTAACATGTGTACGTCATTATTAACAGATGAGATGTCTGGCCTGAAAGCCACGTGAATGTGTGAAACAACGACTGACAGATTCACGTGCAGAGACTTATTTATAAAACATGATCTTCTCTGACGTGTCCGGAGAATTCCCTGGTAGAGAAACACCTGTCACGCTCCCAGGACACTAAAATATACAAGAGGAGTAACAGTGTTTTTCACTCCTACGCTGTGTGAGGGAGACCTCCTCTTGTTTGCACGCCTGTCGAAGTTTCTGTACCCCTGTTTGGTGTGGGCTGTGTGTGTGTGTGTGTGTGTGTGTGTGTGTGTGTGCGTGTGCCTGCGCCCGTCACGCTGCGCTCCAGCTGCCTTGCTCATTAAAGCGGTAAGGGGCTGGGCTGACGTTAACTAGATTCCCAGGCATTTACTTTGATCAGGTTGGCTCTCCCATTTTTATAGCTGTCTCCAGGCTAAGAGTTTTATGCCCTGTATATTAGACTAGTGACGGCAGCATGCACACACACGCACGCACACACACACCGTATACAGGTAACTAACAGATGGAAACAATGGGTCTCATTCAAGAAGCTTTTCTCACCATTTCTCTTAAAAACTGAGTAAAAGAAAAATTAAAAAAACAAAACAAAACAAAAAAAAACACCCTATAATAAATGGAGAAAACATGCTGCTGATTTATTTGTCGCCAAATTAAGTTCTTCATGATTCAGTACTGATCTGAAATTGGACATCAGATCCTATTTTGCATCAAATTAAGCCACAATCCAAATGATAACCGTAATTTGCTGGAAAGATCGTTAATCAAATGCCAAAATGAGGGATGTTTTTATGCATTATACTATCAAATATCAATCAAATCACTGGGTAATTTCGGTATTACACTGTTTGGTATTACACCGGCACAAACCATTTCAAAACCACATCGAGCCGAGGCCAGAAAAACCTACAGTGACGCAGGTGGAGATTAAAGCTGCATGAAAGTTGGGAGACAGCTTTGATGTTCTTAGATCTTTACCTCTAGTGGGGGCAGATCTCTTCATGTTGACATGCTTACAGTTTGCACACTGTCACGCTACATTAGCTCAAAGTGTCACAGAGGCTGATGGGAATTCCCTCGTTAAGTTTTTTGGGGTTCCCTGTCATGAACAGAAATTCTGAGCTACTGACGGTGTTTCATGAAAAGTTTTGAGATTTTCAGGGTCTGAGTTCGTCGCCTTGGGAGCACGAATGTCATGAATGATGCTCAATAACCGCAAACAATCGTTCAATCCACAAATTTCCACCCTTGTCTTTGTGTCTGGTCCTTGAATTTCGCTAAGAGTGTGACGTAAATTGAAAGTCTGACATCAAATGGAGCTAACGGTAGGGAACAGGTGAGCAGGACGAGGCTTGAGGGACAAAAGAGAAGGTGAAAATTAGGAAAAATACAATGAGGTGAGACGAGAAAACTGTGGAGAGAAAAGAGGAGGAAACGGCCACGAAATGAGAGAAAGCAAGTGTGTTTATCCTCCTCCAACAGAAACTCTGGTTTTCTCTGCGCTCCATTTACCACATTAGCACCAGCTAATTACACACTACTGAATACATTAGACTAACTAATAACCAACAAGACCACTGTGGTTGGTGTGTGTGTGTGTGTGTGTGTGTGTGTGTGTGTGTGTGTGTGTGTGTAGACCCGAAGCACTATGTAGAACTCATCAGAGGTTTGCGTTGACCACTTTATTCCAACATTTTAACAAGCCTTTTGGGGACCATTCCATCTAAGCTTTCCCCCACTGAGAACTGGAAGTGTTTGTATTGGCTGGATTGTGTGTGTGTGTGTGTGTGTGTGTGTGTGTGTGTGTGTGTGCGCGCAGTGAGAGAACAGGTCATTTGGGGAATATTCCATTTTAGTTCCTCCCTATGGGGCACGGACACAGAGAGAAACTCACTGACTAGGAAATGAGGCTGCAATAACTGCATGTCACGAGAAGCTGCCCTGCAGGAGTGTATGAGTGTGTGTGTGTGTGTGTGTGTGTGTGTGTGCGTACCAGAGTCCTGAGCCAGCATTCTTCACAATGGACATGCCAGCACTGGATGGAGGTGAGTGGCATCGTGTAGGAGTCCTAAGAAAAAGAAACAAGGGAAAGAAGAAATTAAACCAAATTGACGACACACACACACACACACACACACACACACACACACACACGCCAGTCAGCAACAGCCAGAACAACACTGTACACTCCCTGACCAACCAACAGCATCAAACCACTAACCATCAAACGACACAGCCAGCAGCCACAGAACCACTGAGCAAGGCAGCATGGGGGGGCAATGAACCGGAAACCTGCAGGTCGCACAGACACACACAAACACACACACACTCACACTCACACACACACACACACACACAGAGACACGATACCGGGCAAGCAACGAGCAGAGACGGAGGGGAGCAGGCAGAGGAGGGGAGAAGATGTGGGGGGGGCAGCCATGAGTGAACCCAATCTGATGGGCGCTCTTTTCTTTTCCTCACGAAAAGAACGGAGAGATGAGGGAGGAGGAGGGGAGTGGGGGGGGAGGGAGTGCCTTACCCTCCGTAGGGGCTGTGGGAGGAGCCTCTTTATGCCGCTGCCGTAGCCACCAATCACAAGGCCCCTGTACAGGCAGTACAGGCCGAGGGGGAGGGACTTAGGCTGCCTCTCTCCGACCTCACTGGCCAGTGGCCGGGGCCCTGGCCACGCCCCTAGGCTCCTTGAACTCTGCGCCTGACTGGATTACGCACGCTTTCCTCTGCGGAAGGGAGGGGGTGGGGGTGGGAGAGGGAGAGGGGGGAGGGAGGGAGGGGCGAAAGGTGGCAGCTAATCATAGTGCCGGGCTTGTGTTGGTTGCGCGTGCGCGCACACACACACATACACTCTCCACAGTGCAATATGAACATGTGTGTAGACAAGTACACTGACCCACCCCCACACACACACACACACACGCACGCACACGCACGTAGGAGTGAGCGCCAGCGACAGCCAGACAGACAGCCAATGAGCAAAGAGCAATGAAGCTTTGACTTTGAGCAACTTTGAGGAGTGTGATGGCTGATGACTCGACCGAGCCGCTTCATGCCAGTCGGACGCTCTACAGGTCGGATACTGCAACTACAGTCAGTGACACCTGAACGCTGAAACCATCCACTGACTTCCATTCACGTTGCTAACACAGGGATACACTGAGGTGGGCGTGGCGAGTGTTGAGGGCGCTCGCCGGGCTCACGCTGTCGTGTGAATCTTAATAATGCTGGGAGAGTAAAGTTGGGATATCGGCAGCTTTAAATTGTACCATTATTTTTTTGCTGTCTCCTGTGAGCTTTGGAAGTGCAATATTAAGGACTAATGTATAATAATATAAATAACTTGGCTACTTCTAATGGAAGACGTGCTGATAGCCTCAGATTGGAGGGGTCAGCACATAAAAACACCTGGCTCTGATTTCTGGCATGTTTCAAATAGCCGTTGGTATTATTATTATTACAGATATGTGGTATAGCCAAATATCAGTCTTCCAACATTATCCCGGTTTTCTGTGCTTTTCATCTACAGCACTGTTCTGTTCCATTCACAGACTTTGTCTCGTGGACCTCCATGAAAATAACCAATACTACATTTCTTTTTATACATTTCTCTAATTATGGGAATAAAGGCAGCAGCAGATCCTCTCTCACACGTCTCAACAGGACAAAGTTGAATGTTCCTTCTATAAAGCACCAGTAGATGGGGGTAGAAACCCACTCACCGGACTGAAGCCCAGCTCTGAGCTCGCCTCAGAACCGGGAGAGGATAACGCACAACTTGAGCCAACTTGGCTGCAGCAGGAGAGCACTTGTTTCCCCACTTACATACAACCACCTGAGCACGGGGAGGTTGTGATGCGTAAAGAAACATTCTGAGGGAACACGTGTAAAGACTTGAGTCACTGAGTCATAACTCAGGTCGCAGGGGAAATCTCCGGCTTCTCTGACACACCTTCCATGTTTTTAACTACTTGCCAACTAGTGAGAGTGACCTGACTTTAAGATCAGACACAGTGACGGGGGACAGTGACAGGTTAAAGACAGACAGAGACAGATTAGATAGAAGATGTGTGTGTGTGTGTGTGTGTGTGTGTGTGTGTGTGTGTGTGTGTGTGTGCGTGTGTGTACGTACACATATTTGTGTTATTCTGTAAGCCTGTGTGTGTGTGTGTGTTTGTGTGAGATGTGGGACAGTGACAGATGAGCAGAGAAGAGCCTTGTGTCTATGGGGCAGTGAGTGATCGATCGCTGTGCCTTGCCCTCCGTGTCACCTCGGGCACCCAGCGACCTTTAGGAAGCGCAGGCGTCGGTAATTACCCACTTCTCTCTCTCTCTCTCACACACACACACACACACAGGATGCCGACGCTGCACTGTCCACAAGCTTGAAGGATGACAGGATGGGTACTTGACACAAAGCAGGGTATGCAAACACTGATGGGGTGGGGGGGTGGGGGGTGTAGGTACAGTCACACCTCAAGCATCTGATGAACATGAATATTGACGACGTCCCTCATTCTGCCTGATATTGTCAAGGAACGACACGCGGCTTCCATCATTGATCTCAGAGTCCAATCAATCACCTACACAAGCTGTGAGGCACAGGAGCCTCGTCTCACTCTACAACACAACACTACTTGCCCCCATCTTATGCTTTCCGGTTATTCTGTGTCACATTTTGTGCACAATTAACCTTTTGTGTGAGCCGTATACTCAAAAATATATATTTTTTTGTTTAAATATAAGTCGTTCAGATGGTAAAGCGATGGTAAAGCCTTCTGCCAGCAGACAATCCTGTCAACTCACAAAGCCATGCAAGAGCGGAAACCACCACAGCACAACAGTGACACAACACCAGCAGCACTCGAACATCGAGACATCCAGAAACCAAAGAAATGCCACAGACACTTTTCCAGCACACAACAAAACACACTAAACAACCACGTTTTGGAGTCGGATCAAAGGAGGAAAAAAAAAAAAAAAAATACTGAATGGACGTTTGCTTGATGAACAATATGTGAGTCAAGTGGGCAAAGAGCAGTGCAGGGGAAGTTGTATTAAAGATCCTTTAGACTGGCTGACACTGACTAAGGGTCCGACAGAGGAAGTATGGATCCTTTAAAGAACCAGGCCGACCCTGCACCACCAGCTTCACAGTCACCAAAGCTAATATCATGAGGTTTAAAATTAGCAAAAGATTCCCAATGCCCACTTCTGAGTGTGATGTTTAAATTTGACACCAGATGTATAACATGGTCTTCTGTTGTATTAATGGTAAATCTATTTGTATAATTGTCTTTTCTCTGACACAAGATGCTCAGAAGAACCAACAGAGGAGTTTACACTTGGCTTCCATTGTCCTGTGTCCTTCCTGTGACCTACGTGTTGCTGACTGACGACTACCTCAAACCACATACATGCAAAGTACAATGTGGCCACAAGCTCACAACGACTGCCTGAAGCCTTCATTCAAAACCTGCCTAATGTGCAGTGGGTTGTGGGATATTTAAAAAGTTCCCCGTGGAGTTGTTGACATCTTGTAGCTTTGTGGAGCTGTTCTGCTATGAATGGGTCTCCATTGTGTTTACACGTGGCCCCTTTAAATCTGGACAGAGGGAGATATTCACAGGAGTATTTGGCCAATTAGTGCAGACTTTGGAGGATCCAGCCTCTCGATTGCGACACAGCATCTGAGGAGGGACACGTCCCCCTCGGAGGGTCTCCTCGGGGATTGTGGGGATGATTTACTATGAGCATTAAACAGAGAGCGCTCACATGACTGTGATACTCACCATGCAGATGAGACACTTGTATCGGTCTCCTCTCAGTATCTGCTTCTCCAGCTCTCTGATTCGAGCCTTCAGAGCCTCCATGGTGGTGGCTGTGGACTCCTCCTCCGTTACCCTGGAGCAGAGGAGGGGGAAAGGGGAAAAAAAAAACAACAAGAGGAAGAAAGATTTATTTTAGGTTTGACATTAAAAGACATACAGACACAGGTACGAGGACGGTGTGTGAAATTCCACACCAGCCGGCGCTGACGAGGTGAAGTCAGGCTGAGTCTACACTGAGGAAAATAAATCAGTTAACACGAGAAAACGACTTGTGTGTGTGTCCACACAGGTGTTTTCAAGTTGTTTCTTTTAACTTTAACGTGAACATTTACTCTATCACACGCAGCACTCAATCAGGAATACGTGTGTTCATTCCCCGAGGGTCATTTACTTCTGTCTAAACTTTGATTCTCCCTGGCTCCCTCTGCTCTCTGTCAGTGTGCAGGATGACATGTTTCTCTCTCTCTCTCTCTCTCTGCACACTCACAGTCAGGTATCTTTAAAGCCTCCCATCCTTTCTTTCGCTCTCCGTGTCCGATATATAGTATGACATCCCTCTGTTTAACACAGCTGTATCCTCAAAGGCCCTATCTTACCCCAGATTTACAACTCCAGCCCCCTCCCCTGACTCATTCCCACCATCCTTTAATTGTGGTCACACTCCGCCCCTCCTTTCCGCTCCTCTTTCTCGCCCCTTCCCGACTTTCACTTAAATGCCCTGTCGTCTTTTTCTAACATCTCACGTTCACCTTTCATCCTCTGCGTCTCCTGTTATATTTTCCCATCTATCCCCGCGTCCGTCTCTCCCTCGCAATTTATTTCCTTGCCTCTGTATTTATCTCCTCGTGTCCTCCCTTCATCTCTCCATCCACTGTCCTCCCTTTCTTCCTGCCTCTAAGCAGCCTCTGATTAATGTGTAGCATGATAACAGAAAATGTGCATTTAACACTGTCCAGCAGCATATGAAGCAGCCATAACTAAATCAATACGGCCGACGCGCAGACCACAACGCTGATGATGATGATGATTTGCGCGGAGAGATGAGGCCGTGCGAGCCAGCCGGTGTTTATTACGGCCATCCGCTCCTCCTCCAGAAAGATGCAATAGCACTGTGTGGGTGTGTGTGTGTGTGTGTGTTTATGGTGATGTGGTCATTTTGCAGCCTGATAGCTGGCTGATCTATGGTATTGATCTGGATGGGGAAGGACAAGCGCAGAAAGGGAAGGGAGGTTGAGTGCAAAAGGGAATTATAAGTGGCTGTGTGTGTGTGTGTGTGTGTGTGTGTGTGTGTGTGTGTGTGTGTGTGTGTGTGTGTGTGGCCTAGGATATGGCTTCATTTGCTGCATCCTCAAACAGCAGAGCCTACAGGGGGAAAGAAACAAGGATCGACTTTTTCAATTTCCTTCCGAGAGTCAGTTTTTTTGTTCATCTTTTGCATCTGTGCCACACCAGGAGTTTTACACTTTAATTCCTTCAAACAAGCTCATTAAAATAAATTGAACATTTAAACTTAATTAAAGATTAAATTAAAATTAAACATTTCAGGTCTGTACGGTCATCAGCAGACGTCTTCAAACACCCGAGCGTTACGCTGAATTGTACGTGTTTAGCAGAGAAACCTTATGATCGGAGAAAGTGAAACTTCTTCTTGGCAGAAACTTGTTCTTCTGGAAACTTTGACGGCTTTAGCTTTGATCGTGTTCCATGACAAGACAGCTTAGTTTTCTAGCGTGATGTGCAGACAGTCTGCGCTATCTCTCGCTTCGGGCTGCACCTCAGCAACGTTCCCTCGCAGATTTGGGCAGATGACGAAATTTACGTCATTGCTGACTCATGCCGAACCTTGCGGCCATGGAAACCATGAATGAGCCTTTCCATCTTCCAAAAGAGATGATGATCTTCAACAACGTTCCCCATTCTTTCTGCTCCTAAAACACACGATATTTACAGATCATACCATCTTGATTTTGATTGGTTGGCAGGTGTCCTTTAATGGAGGCAGAAAAGCAGCGCTATCTTCCATGTCTCCAGTTTTCTGCTTTCTCTGTTGATATTAAGTGAATATCTTTTTGGATTTGACTGGTGTTCAGACACATTGAGCAATAAGATGATGTCACATTTGGGCAATTATTAGTTGCAGCCAGACTTGTGGCATGTTATTGCTTTGAGTCGGGTGGCTCTTTCCTTCTGCAACATTCATCACCCTTACATATTGAAAACATCACTGTCCTCCCCCGACAGGGAAATCAGATGTCAGGGCCAACTACAGAGCAGCATCACTGAGCCTGGTCAGGACTTTTCTCCATGAGGAACATTTCAGCGTGTTGCCTGTTTGTCGTCAAAGAGACTTGAAGGACACCGTCTCTAAACCCCGAGCCGCCTCGCCACCACTAATACGGCAGGAGGTTCTGCCTCCTCCATGAGGTCTCTGGGAAAAGTCGACCTTCTCTGGCTCCGCCCTGTAACCCCATCACCATCCCGGGTCTATAAAGACATAGTTGGGACTCCTGGTCTGACTCGCCACTCCATGCCCTATAAACTGCTTTACCCTCTCCTCTTATAAGTCCTGAGCTTGTAAAAAGCCATTTAGCCTTGATTAGCCTGCTAGCTTATAAAGCAGCAGTGGACTCTGGCCTGGATGGGACTGGATGGGGGTCGTCCCTCAAACACGCTTGTGTCTTTCTTTTAACAGCTGCAATAAATCCCCCTGTCGCTCAGTCGACTTAACTCTGCCAACGGGCTCTCCTTCCTCCTCGGAGTTAAAGAGCGGAGGATTGAAGTTTTTCTCTTAAGAAAGATTCACATAATAACACTACTCCCCTCCTCTCCATTATCCTTCCATCTCTCTGATGAATGTTCATTTGGTATGGCTAATTTATAGAAAACCGCGTTTAAAAAGTTGTTGAGTTTCCCAGCGTGATTCAATGACATGTTAATTTATCTTTATGCGGCTGCGGCCATCGCAACGGGGGAACGGGGAGGTAGAGGGGGAAGTAAGAGAGGAGAAGGAGGAGGAGCAAAGATTTAATGGAAGTAAAAAAGAAGAACGGGATGATTTCACAGGGCTAAGGAAAGGAGAGACAACTCTCTGGGGCTAAATGTGACGCGCAGAGAGATGAATAGCGTCTCCACCAGCAGGAACCACAAGTAAAAAACCTTGAGTTTAAGGCTTTTATGCTATTTGTGTGTGTCACTGATTTAAGCTGGCTCAGGGGTTTTCAACCTTTGCAGTCTTGGAGCCAAAATAGGAAAATTTATTTCACTCTGGGACCCACGCTTATAAAAACATTGTCATGTTAATTTACAGGAACAAACTAACCACTCAACTCGGGTTACAACTTAAAATGTAAAATATTCTGGGGTCAAGGACTAAACAATGATCGTCTGTCTGGGTTGGCTCTTACTCGGTGTAACAGTGAGTTTCCATGAATGTGGGTCCTGGGATCAGACAAGTATCACTGACATTAGCTTCATCAAAGCAGAATCCTTTTCAATCCCTCATCTGAGATCTGTAATAAGCTTTTCAGGGCAGATTCAGAGACGCTCCATCTTAATGTTCTGTAGCTCAACGGCCAGATAAGCGGCATATACCGTGTTACATGTTGATAACATGTGAAGCTTCATTTTGGCCTTGCGTCAAGTTACTTATGGATGTCCCGACTTACTTTCCTGTGTTGTTCTCCTGCACTGTGGACTGCTGATGTCAGTACAACACTCTCCCTCCGGTCATGGGTATTTACTGGCACGTATTGTACATCTGTTTGCACCGTTTGTGTTTCTGTTAGCGTCAGTGAGCTAAGTGGGGACGAGCCCTCGGGGCTGGTTGGTTCTTGACTGAACTTGTGGCCTTGATCGGAAGATCTGGCATCATAAAACCGCAAGCAACCAACACTTAAAATACAACTCCCAGTCACACAACACGCTACTACTCCGCCGTAGTTACTGCCCTGTAGGGCTTTTTCTGGATGCTGTGTAAATGTTTGTGGGTGAAAGAAAGTGATACTGCAGTATGTTTCTATCTGGAGTCATCCCTAAAAACAAGAAGCAGGGAAGCCAGACAGAGACAGATAGATGGCTCTGTCTCCCCTCTATTTAGCGCTCTGTCCCCAACATGTGTGGGGCTATTTCTCATTTCATTAGCGTGCGTGCGTGTGTGTGTGTGTGTGTGTGTGTGTGTGTGTGTGTCTGTGTAACTGAAGACCTCTACCATCCATCTCAATCAGCCCTGTGTCTTAATCTACTGTCTACCTACATTTCAGCCTCCCCCAGCTTCCCTCTCAACACAGGGACGGACAAATGAGAAACATTACAATTAATAAAAAATACATACATTTCGGAAACTGTCTTCTAGCAAATGTTTTATCCACCAGGTGGGGAAAAATACATTTCTCACATGTATGTGCTGTGAAAATAGCAGCAGTAAATCTCTTTAGAGCATCATTCTCTGCTGCACCCTGTTAACTGAGGCCTTAACTACACTGACACACCATGATAAAACATTTAAGTCACTATTGATTTCCCCTGCCTCAGCCCGATGTGTGTGTGTGTGTGTGTGTGTGTGTGTGTGTCTCTCTCTCTCTGTGTGGAGGTCTCAGATGGCAAAAGGGAAGGGATGGGGGGGGGGGGGGCATCTTGTAAGTGCCTGAGAAAAATTGAGACAGAGGACTGGGAGAAAAGAGAAATGGGAACGAGGAAGAAGGGAGAAAGAGAGAGAAATGTGGCTCAGGGCCAGAACAATAAAGAGAGGAAGGAGCGAGGAAAAGGCAGAGACTGGGCAGTGTGTGTGTGAGTGTGAGTGAGGGAGGGGGTGGGAGGAGGA